GTTCTCAGGACTCCACAGTTCAACCCTGAGCTACACATATTTGCCTCTATTGGTACCTTCTAACCTTTCTGAGCAAGAGGGATATGATATCTTTCCACCTTTATGTTCTATGGAAAACAAATATTGAGGGAGAATTGATATCCAGGCATTATTGGCCAAAGAAAGCACAAATTATATTCAAAATAACAGTGTATCTTAAAAAGATAATTTCTATATAGTACTAAGCAAATGCGGTCAAATCATAGTATATTTTGAAGAAAAAACATCAACATATAGAGATGAGCTCTGTTTCGGATAATTATCTTAAAATGAAAGAGATTTGAGATCATAAGTAATGTATGATTTATTTTATGGGATTTAAGCATACATAGTCTTCTCCAGCTTAGAGATAACAAAATAAACTAAATTCATAATCTGTTCTACTCAGTTAACAACACACTTATTGTTATGATTGGGGGAGGAAGGTGATAGGAGACAGACCCACGAAGCTGTATATCAATATGAACTTGTTTTGCCTAGAATTTTATTTATGGGATTTTAATAGCACAGTGAACAGATTCCACAAAACACTTTGGGATTATATCACATCCTAGAGATTTAACTATACATTTATCTCTCTTCCTCGCACCAAAAATTGATAAAGCTGAGCCTAATCAATGTCCTAAGTAGATGAAAAGTGTGAATGGGTAAAATGCAAATAAATAGTCCACAATATCATAGATGAGTCAACCTTCAATATTTCTCCAGTAGAAAGTCAATACTACAGTGTGGACATTAATAATAAAATTCCATAGTGTTTACTGGTGTTTACTGGCAGTGAATGAGAATCATTTCCAGTTTACCCAATAGAGGAATTTTATCAGCTGGGTTATATTTATGCATTTTAGATCACGGTGGCTAACAATATATAGCTAATAAAAATGTTGTGGACTTATTTATGAGGCTGAAAAAAAATTATAAAATTCACAGTGAAAATTGTGCAGCATCTAAAGAAAATTGTTTTCAAAAATTGGATGCATCTGTTGGAAAATCAAGGAACATCGAAATTGAATGTCCTTATTACAAAAATGCTTTTGTCAGTTTTTTATTAACTCATAAGTCATTTACAACAACTTTTCAATGAAAATAAGTGCTTGGTTTTTGTATAGATCAAACCACATCTTTTTTCCCCCTTAGATGTTGCCTCTCTTCTGGTTATTAGACCAGCTTAGCTCCTGGACCTTTTCCCCTACTTTGCTATGACTTTATAATCCTGCTCCTGCAAGATAATTTTTCAACTTCCAGAATACTACAAACAAATTCAGCCTAATTTGAGTTGTAGCCTTTGGAACACTTATGGAAAGTCTTTCCTCAGCCAGCTTGGTCATGGCTGAAACTTTGAGGGTTGACATCCACACATCAGGGAAAGCTGGCATAGGACATAATGAGTAACAGTAGCACCAAAACTGAGACACGCATTGAATTTATATTTGAATGCAACAAAAGATAAGAGCTTTGATCTGAAGGAAAATACTATGTCCCACAAATTGAATTCAGATTTTTCAGCCAAGATCTACAAAATCAGCTCTCAAATGACAAAATTAAGCTCAGAGATGATGGTTACATGGGTTTCGGAAGTGAGGGTCAGGGGCAAATGATGACACATGTGATTATATCATCACAGAAATGCTGCCACTTAAATACTTGCACCAGCATTTGTGCCATGATGTCACCACACATAATTTGTAGTTCAAGGGAAAGTGCTAGTCTGGAAATGTATATACAACTATCCATTTTATTGTAGAAAAGCTATTTAGAGGCTCATATAGATACCCTTCAAGTTAACCTAAGCTCCTGGTGATTTCATGATCTTTCCCATATAGTTTCCTTGGCAACAGTACAAAAAATGATTTGCACTGTTCTGGGATTTCCCCCAATTTCCCAGCTTGGAGTTTTCCTGATGATCTCCTGTCCAAGTGCTGACCAAGTCCAACCCTGCTCAGTTTTTTGAAATCAAACAATCAGAAATGGTTGCTAGGTGTGGCCTACCTATGTATCTCTATAAATATACATAAACACTTGTGCGTTCTCTCTTCCTCCCTCCCCCCTCCCTCCCCCATACACACCTACACAAGCTCACATACATAATCAAAGTTTGTAAATTAACGTGATTTGTAATGCAGGGATTCTGCAGAAAGTAGTGATCAAGGTAATTTAAATTTTGGGCCTTGATTAAAAGAATACCGGGCCTCAGAACAGAACTCCAGATCTCATAAATGGCACTCTCTACTGTCTCAATGTGCTTATTTCATAAGGGGGTGAGTGGAACTGAGCTGTTGGGTGCCTGGCTATCAGTTTCTCCATGATTGCCTGTTTGTGGGGTGGGCAGGGCAGGGCTGGGTGTGTGCGTTCCTGTGTGACACAGAATGGGACAAATTGTTCTCCTGGAAATGAATCCAAGTTCTCCTCTTAAGACAGGCTTGTGTGGTACCATTGTGTGCGTCTCCTCCCACCTGTTTTAACACAAGCTTGTATTATTTCAGTTCCATTGCAAAACAATTCGTGTTTACAGTGGTTTCTCCCCCTCCCTTCCATTAGTGCTATTTTGTTTTGTCTTTTTTTAAAAACTCTCCTAATTCAACTCCCCAGGCAGTTGGCTTTTCAAATATTGCAACAGTATTTCTAATGCTAATTCAAAATAGCATTATTTTAGCCAAACAACCAGGATCTTCACTGTGGTTTAGAACTGGGTGTAGATAGTAACATGGATTTTTTTTTTTTTTTCCAGTTTCACAGAGATCAGGGGCCAAAGTTCCTTGTCTTCTTCCAGACAAGAAGGCTTGTGCCATAATCAATCTACTAATCTATCTTTCTTCTTTTCCTTTTCCTTTTCCTTTTCCTTTTCCTTGTCCTGTCCTGTCCTGTCCTGTCC